ACTATTGAGCTGACACCAGTAACATGAAATTCATCTGCTCAGGAAAAAGTTTGTAAACCTGAGAGTGTGTTTCTACTGATATCTGCCTAAAGGCCTGCAAAGGTAACTTAGGCATTGTTAGGGTCACTAGAGTTCACATTCCTAAGTCATCCAGAAAGATGTTTTTGTAAACCAGAGTGCTAAACAAGCTACACTGCTGTAGCCAGAGAAAAGGTTTGTGCAGTTGTCAAAAGTTAAATATTGTTCTTAATGACATCTAACCCTGATAGCCTCTTGTAAAATAGGCTAAGGTTATAGGTTCCTGGCTAGGTAGGATCAATGCCCCTGAAGTCAGCTTGAAGAAGTTACAGAAGATGGACCTTCACCCATCAACCCCCTTTTAAGATCAAGAGTCTAGAGTCAGTTTTAGAAAAATGAGGCAAAATAGATAAAATATTGTTTTTTAGAAAAAGGCATAAAGAATAGTGTTAACAGTTGTAGGTGTGCAAGTGTGGAGACTGCACCTGTCAGAGATGATTACAAGACTAAGCCTGGTTAGAAAAAAAATTGTCATTTTGGTAAACTGTCCTGGGCTATTGTCTAAATGTTCTTAAAAACCAACGGGGCCAAAGTCTGCCAAGCCTATGTATTACTTGCATCCTTAACCAGTCTGTGTAGGAATTTGCAGCCCAGCATGAGGTGACAGTCCCTTGGAGCCACTGAGAGACCCTGCTGCTGCTGCTGCTGCTGCTGCTGCTGCGGCTGCATACCCTAATGGGTAAAGTTCAACAATGGCCTGACAGTCACCTGGAGGAACTCCTGCCTGATTCCATCACCTGAGTCTGCTTCCTGGTTGACTGCTACTAAATCTAAGATCTCGTGGGACATTCTTTTTTTTTTACTTTTTATTGTGAAAATACTGTACAGAGGGGTTACAATTGCATGGGCAAGATAATGAGTACATTTCCTATCAAGCATTGTAGCTGCCTCCTTTGTTTGCCCTTCCCATCCCTTCCCAGCCTCCCCTGCCCCCTCACTCAATCCTTCCCCCCCCACCAAAGTTGTAAAGTTCGTTTTCGACATGACAACTTGTATTTCTCATTGTTGCAACAGGTCCACCTGTATCCTTATTTAAACGACTTGTTTTTCCCCTTCCCCTCCACAAATTATACTGACATCAAATACAGTGAAAGCAGGGGTTATTCTGTGGGGGAGGGACATACAAAGCAACAAAGAAAAAATCTTATAAATGCGTTAGAAACAAATGCATGAAAAAAAAACATTTAAATACATATCTTAGGGTTCATTTTCCTAACATCACCTTATCTGACCTTTTCTGCTTGACTCATACATATAGTAGATATTGCAAATAAGGGAAACCATGGGACCTATGTTTCTTTGGGCTTGGCTTACTTCACTTAATATAATTTTTTCCAAGTCTTTCCATTGCCTAACAAATGGGGCAATGTCATTCTTTCTGAAGGAGGCATAGAATTCCATTGTGTATATATACCACATTTTCTTGATCCATTCATCTACTGAGGGGCATCTGGGTTGGTTCCATATCTTAGCTATGGTAAATAATGCTGCAATAAACATAGTTGTGCTGGTAAAAAAAAAAAGATTTCTGTTGAAAAGCCTGCTGTTCAATAGGGTGGGAAGTGTCATTTGTTTCTCTTTCTATTTTGTTCTGTCTTTCATGATTTAACCCTCAAAGTTGGATAATAAAAGTCAGGTGACTTTCATCTCTATGACATGAATATGTATAGGATGTTTGTTTTGGCGAGCTGAGAAGGTGGCTCAGTGGTGGAGTGTTTACCTTGCATGCATGAGGCCCTGGGTTTGATTCCCCAGCACCACATAAGCAGAAAAAAAGCAGGAAGTGACACTGTTGCTCAAGTGATAGAGTGCTAGCCTTGAGCTGAAGAGCTGAGGGACAGCACCCAGGCCCAGAGTTCAGGCCCCACGACCGGAACCCCACCCCCCCAAAAAATTGTTTTGGCTCAAAATGTTGGTGTTTGCATCTCTTTGCTTTGTGATGGCATTGCTCTGTTTACTGTGCTATTCACCAGATTCATAAGGAAAAGAATTGTATTTTTCTTGGAAAGAAAATGAAGAATGTCTTCATATTTTTATCTCAGATATTTGATGTACCTAGGATCCTTACAAGGAAAAAAATACTGACAAGTTTATTGCCACAATTCCTCTTATGAACAAGAATCTTGAAAAAATGAATGTTGTTTTCTACTCCCTTTACTTTTTTTCCCAAAAAATAAAGAAATACTGTGACAATTCAAAAAAGAAACTATGCTACTATTTTGAACTTTTTCTTAGTGTTCCTTTTTTTTGTCAGTGGTGGGGCTTGAACTCTGGGAATGGGCGCTGTCCCTCAGCTCTTCAGCTCAAGGCGAACGCTCTATGACTGGAGCTGTGGTGCCATGTCTGATTTTCTAATGGTTTATTGGAGATAAGAATCTCATGGACGTTCCTGCCCAGGCTGGCTTTGAACCTCAATCCTCAGATCTCAGCCTCCTGAGTAGCTAGGATTACAGGTCTCAGTGTTTCTTGAAAGTCATTAAATTTACTTACGACTATTAAGTGCTCTAACAGAAATCCCTTCTATATTGTTGATATATATGGCCAGTGTCCTAACCCTTACCTTTTCTGTCTCTGTCTCTGACTCTCAAATTTTTCTGTCAATCTCTCTCTACTCTATCTCTGTCTCTTTCTCTATTTGTTTCTTTACTGCTAATAAGTGGACACAGCCTCACACTACGATGCTACTGGTCTTTATCCATAACACTTAAACCTTGTTATATTTATATTTCCTTCACACTCTATTGTGCTGAAGCTTTTAAAGCACTATTGTGTAAAATATAAAATTTTGCTAAACAGAATCATTTTAATATCTCTTTTGTTTAAAAATTGGTATATACTATTGTAAAATGTAAAATTTCTAAATAATTAATTCATAAAAATGAAAATGAGACTGCTTTTCAAATGGCAAACTTATTATTTTTATTATTATTAATAGGAATTGGTAGTAAATTGTGCTATGTTTTTGATTATTATTTGAGATGATGTCTAATATTTATTTTAGAAGAAGTATTTTGTTGTTTATTCACATATTTTGAAAATCAGATATTAGAATTTTTACATTTCATATGAGGAAATTTATTGGGATTCATTTATTATGGTAACATTGTTAAAGTATATTAATATAATTTTATAATCATGTAAGAACTGAAAACCAATATTAATATAGTATACCCGTGTAACACACACATTTCCTTGAAAATTTCAAGATTTTTCTTGAGCATAAATATAAGTAAAAATAGAATATTAACTCTTTAGGAATGTTTAAGTGTAAATGAAAATACGCCTAAGGTTTTATTATTCCAAGAAATTGTTTTTTAGTTTTTTTTGGTTGTCTCATGAGATAATTGTCTGTCATGGTATATAATAAAGGATACATTAAGTCTTCCATAGTATAACTTCAGTGCCAAGACACTATCTATTAAGACTGATGAACTAAGCAAGGATAATTTCAAGAAGGGATATAGATGGCAAATGCCAAGAATACGCTGCAAATATGCTCATCACCATAACACAGCCGTGGAAATAAAGCATGGTTCAAACTGGGGAATATTAATTTGCTCACTCCAATATGGAAATTTAAATTAATGCAGTCAGAAAATAAATTGTATTGAAGAGACTACACTGTCTGTAAAAAATACCAGAGAAAACTAGGTTTAGAAAGAGTAAAAAAAAAACCTATTTTTTACAAGAATATGCATATCTTGCAATAATAAAATTATTAATACACTGTAATTGTAGACAATAATTGATCTTCTTATATTTAGTGGAAAGGAGAGGAATCATCCACTGTATAAAAGAGGCAATATGGCCAAAATCAAGACAAGCTTAAAATTTAAAAATAAACACAGATTACTGTGGCAGAAGTTGTAAAAATCTATCCTTCCTTCCATTATATTTTCCTTCCCTCTCTCCATCACTATATCCTTCTGTCTTTCAACCTGTGCTCCAACCCTTCTTTCCTCTTTCCCTCCCTCCCTGTGACCATTTTCTTCCTTTTCCAGTACTTGGGTTTGAAATAAAGGACCTCAGTAGCAAGGGTTTATGTTACTCATTGTAGATAATTAACTATTTGAACCATGTTTCCAGTCTGGATTTTGGAGTCCGTAATAGGAGCTTGGACCTCATTTTTATTACTTCATAGGTTAATTTTGAACTATAATCCTATAGGTCTCAAAATCGTGAGTACGGTCATGCACCACAAGTGTCTGGCTTGAGAACATATTCTTAATTGATGCATGTATTCATAGATACAAACATAATAAAGCAAACAATGAAGGTACACATGGTTAAGTAGTCAAGTATGTTATATAAAAGAACTTCATAAATGAAAGGAAGGGTACTGATGAGATAAAGAAGGAACCTAAAGTGTTCTAGGTGAATTGGAATCCTGGGCACATTCATATGGGGTTCTTGTAAATCATCAGGAAGTGATCACCTTCCTAGCACCACAATCTAAACAACCCAGAAACAGGTATGAAGACTGAATTTATACAAAAAGAGAAAAAACCATATGCAAAGACAAACATGAATGCTTCAAAATTTATTAGAATAATAGAGGCTGCCACAGAATAATTTTTAGGTCCCATTCATGCATGCTATTCTTTGTGATGCATTTACCACTCTACCTCTTGCAATTCTGAAATCCGTTCTTCATGTCTAAGAATCTTCACATCCATTTTATTTTGAAATAGACTTTATTCAATCACTAAGTTTATAAATTGACTGCCACTTTCATGGAAATATTACCTATTATTCTCTTGTTCACTAAAGTGTCTATAGCCCTGGGAAATTTGATCCTTAACAAGAAGGCCAGGAAAGAAATATTTTTTATGGCTATCTGGGCTTCCTGCACATATCTAGGAGAAAAATCAAAATAGGTTTCTATTCAGAATGTACTGAGCAACTCCCATTGAAAGCCACTTTTAAGAAAAGATACTGCACAACTTTTTCCACATCCTTTGTAATGCACATTTCACATCTTTGTTTCTTAGGCTGTAGATCAAGGGATTCAACATTGGGATAATCAGAGTATAGAATATGGAAGATAATTTGTTAGTGTCAAAGGAATGAGTAGACTTAGGCTGTACATACATAGATATCAGTGTCCCATAGAAGACTATGACCACTGAGAGATGAGACCCACAGGTGGAGAAAGCCTTGTGTCTTCCCTCAGCTGTGTTCATCTTGAGAATGGATATGAAGATGAGCAAGTAGGACACAAGAACAAGCAGAAGAGAAGAAAACAAATCAAAGGCTGCAAAGACCATAATGATCCATTCGATTTCGTGGGTATCTGAGCAGAGCAAAGATAACAAAGGACTGCTGTCACAGAAAAAGTGATGGATGACATTGTAGCCGAAGAAGGATAAACTGAAGATCTTTATGGTGACTAGAAGAGAGAGAAAGGTGTTGTAGAGATAGGGGATGGCCACCAGGACCCAACATACTCTTTGCGACATGACAACGGTATAGAGTAGTGGGTTACAAATGGCCACATAGCGGTCATAAGACATGGCCGACAGGATAAAAAGTTCACTACCAATGAACAGAAAAAAGAAAGCTAGCTGTGCTGCACAAGAATAGTAGGAGATTTTATTTTGATCTACGACAAAATTTACCAACATTTTGGGTCCCACAGCTGTTGAATAACCAAGATCAGTGAAAGCCAGGTGTCTGAGAAAAAAGTACATTGGAGTCTGTAGTCTGGAGTCCACCATGGTGAGGATGATCATGCCCAAGTTGCCCAAAGTTGAGCTTACATAGATGAGGAAGAAGAGTGCGAACAATGGAGCCTGGAGCTCAGGATATTCAGTTATGCCCATCAGGATGAATTCAGTCACTGCTGTGAGATTCTGCTTCTCCATCCAGGTTCATCAGAATATCGACTATAAGGAAAGAGAACAGTAGAGTCTCTAGTTTCCAAATATTGTCACATGGGGAACTTTACACTTATTTCTTAAAACTTTTACTCTGGAGAGTAGGAGGGGTGCACCTTGGAAACAAAATGCTCATCTTGAGAATGGACATAAGGATGAACAATGTAGGTTTTGGCAATGGAGGCAGGAGGTACCTCTTAAATAAGATGCATCTCAACTTTTCAACTTGATCTGTGGTTTACATCTAAAATGATGTTACTTATAAAAGAATAAGATCCAATATGTAGCCATATTTTCTTTCTACTTGAGGGAAATGTCTATAACCACTATCAGAGCCCTGTTAAGCTGACAAAATTCCTGCTCCATACAATATCCAAACCCAAACAATACCACATCAACAATCATGTCCCAAGATTGTGTGAAGCTGTAAAGTAGCTAAATCAATAGATGGGTAAGTAGATAGATAAGCAGAGTGGATGATAGATTGCCAAAGAGATATGTAGATCTCAATGAACAGATAGGAATTTAAACAGCTATTTGATATATATAAAGTTTAAATATTATTTAAAGTTTTGGTGTCTAATAAACTGATAATGTGCAATTATTTTTATGTTCTTTAGATTTTCAGTTTTGAAAACATATATCAAAACTATAACATTAATAATTGCATTCAATAGTATCACAATATATAGTCCAATTATAGAATGCATTTTTGAATTCCAGAAAATCAAACAAATCTCTATATCATAGGATTAGCTGGGCACCAGCGGCTCACACCTGTAATCTAGCTACATAGGAAGCTGAGATCTGAAGATCATAGTTTGAAGCTAGCCTGTGCAGAAAAGTCCTAGTGAAACTCTTATTTCCAATAAACCACTCAAAAACGGGAAGTGGCGCCATGGCTCAAGTGGTAGGGCACTAGCCTTGAGCACAAAGAGGCTCAGAGACAATGCCCAGGACCTGAGTTCAAGCCCTACAACCACGAACAACAAAAAAGCCAAAACAAAACATCACATTATAAATAACTTATAACTATAGGTCATGTAGCTGAAAGTGTTAACACATTTTATAATACTGGACAACTATATGAATACAAATAACATCACAGAGAATACTGTCCTGAAGAATGGTGAAATATGTTTGTATAAAGTTCATAGTACTTATTACTTTGAGTATACAAAGGTTACTATGATCATCACACTTTCTCTATAATTCTACTTGAGACAAAATAAACATGTCCTTGCAGAAGGATGAAAGTTGGTGAAATGATCCAATGTTTCCATGATACCTGGAAACAGTCCTCAAGAAATGTGTGCAGATGACCTTGTTTAGTTTCTGTTGTTGTTTTCTGTGTCTTTGTGTGTCCTTTCTTCTCTTTTGTGGCTATCTGGGAATTCTATCCAGGGTCTCAGGTTTGTTAGGCAAACCCAAGCTTCATTACCTGTCCTTGTTCCTATGAAACTCAGTCCAACCTTGGATTTGTTCTGTGAAACAGGCTCATCCAGCTCTTGACTTCTTCCTCCCTTATTGTCTGTGTCTCTTTTTGTTATGTTTTGTGTTTTCTTTTCATTTTTTTAAATTTTATTTTATTGTGAAGATGTTGTACAGTTACATGAGTAAGGTAATGAGTACGCTGCTTCAGTTTTTTTTTTTGTGTGTGTGAAAATACCGTACAGAGGGGTTCTTGTTGAACATGGTTGCCCCATCAGTGGCTTACCTAAGAGAGCTTTTCTTTAGCTATGTACATGTGCATGCTTTTGCAAGGATCTTCTTCACCCAGATGAAGAACAGATCCATAGAAAAACAGTGCATAAAATTTTTACCAATTTCACCTCACTCCTCTATCTCAACTCCAAAGCTACCATTTGATAAACACTGTACTACTGTTTGTAAAATTAACTTCTTCTATTCATCATAATTTTAATGACATTTTAATATGAGTAACATAACTGAAATGTGTTATCCTGTCCTTGTGGGCATTTTCATTCTGACTGAACTACACATACCTGTGTGTGTGTGATACAGTCAATGAATTTTTGGTGGCAGAAGAAATTGGAACTGGATGGAAATCTGAACAGAAATGGGGAAAAATACCATTGGCATTGGTTTCATGCAATAAACACCCATTAAATTTTCTTTACATAAAGGGATAGCATGTTTTAAAGAATAGCAATATTCATAAGAAAATATGTTGGAAGTAATTTATACAACTGGGGGGTATTGGGAAGGGGCAGGGAAAGTGGGAGAAAAAATGAGGGAAGAGGTAAGAAGTATTAAAAAGAAATGTACTTATTACCTTACTTATGTAAATATAACACCTCTGTACATCACCTTGACAATAAAAAATAACAGAAAATTTGATTTTGATAGTCCATTTTAAAGCTCCAATTTATATATTATTTTATGACATACAACACCATAGAGACAAAACAAAATACAGACAAATGAGATATAAATGTCTTCTTTGATATATATATATATATATATATATATGAATATTCTGTAATATTCCAGAAGAACTTTTTCCAATATGGTAAAGCCCAGAAAGAAGACACAAATGCATAACCCAGAGTGAAACTTGCAATAGCTCAGAGGTTAAGAAGTGCAGCCCACTAGCAGGTACCTGACACTTAACCTAATGTAATTACCACCTATGTGCAAAGTCTTGATTACTAATTGTCCTGACATCTTCAAAAAGAAAAAAAGAGAGAAATATCAGCGATCAGTGTGTAAATAACAAGTGACACATGGGATCAAAGCAAATAAATAAAGCCACTTTAAAATATTGTGTATGAAGCTGATTATATGTAATTGCTTGAATCTACAGAAAGCATTGTTAGTTTGGTTGTGATACCTAATATCCTAATGTGCTTCATTGAATAAAATTTCTTATATTTATGATAGCAGAGCACATCAGAGTATAACATTAGATGACTATCATCATAAATGAAATGAGGAACCCTTCAACTCATTGCCTTTTCTTATTTTGATTGGTTTATATTAATTAAATACTATAAAATCACATGCATATCCTACAGACAAATAAATATTCTCATCACATAATGGAAGATGAAGGGGTTAACTCTCATCAGAGTTATATTTCAATGGAAATAAAACAAATTACATTCTCATATTTTAGCATCTTTACTGAGTATTTTTGTACTTAGAAAATCTGAACTCCAGAAAAAGTTAGTATATCACACTGCTAAAATGAAATATTTTGACATCATGAATTTTTAATCGGGTACCTAAAATTATCTGGTATTCATACAGATCTCAATATGAACAGGAAGCTCTCTTTTGTCACCTGTAAATAAAGCTCAAATCTAACTGATACGTAATATATGAGAGCCAGAACTTAGATCCTCAAACTGTTTAAACAGTAGGAAGACTGTGGACATGGGAGTGAATATCTTCTCTTTTTGTCTTTAAGTAAATATCCATGTACTACCATATATGCTGCCTTCCCCTACTCTTGCTGTGACATCTGTGAGATTCAAAAGTATATACAGTCTACACTGAGTATTTTCTAAGCAGAATCACAGAATGTAGTGCTTTACCTCTGAATTTAGGAGGAAGTATTGTCTATGAGGAAGTAGAAGAAAGGGAGAGGGATCCAAATGCAGGCCAGGGATCAGGGAAGAGCAGACACCTCATAAAGGAATCAAATCTTACAGTGTGAGTCCAGATCACAGCCAAACATGACATTTCTGTACGTACGGTAATGAGAGGCACCACATGAGACCTGTCTTTGTTTCCAGAGTTTAAAATTCTCTCTTGATTCTCCCATGTGCTTGTTAATATTGTGTGTATTTCAAGACAATTTATGGATTTCCTTTTTAAAATGTAGAAAGTCTCCCAGAGGAGATGACAGACTATTTGTTGATTAAGTGAACATTGTCGGCATAGTTACTGAAATACTTGGAGGTTGTGCCCTAATTCTCATGGAGAATTTGTAGGCAACGTTGAATTCATTCATCTACTCTGGAGAGCAGCAAATCCACTTTTGAGTTTTACTTAGAAGTACTGGTATTGAGGACACTGAGAAATAATGTCATTCTCATGTTGGACATTGTAGAAGATATTCTAAACAGCCAAGGTAGATAGACACCAGGTTCTAAGGTGGCTGCAAAGTGACTGTTGGAAAGAATAGCTCAGGACAAAGGACACAGATAAAATATGGAGGACAGTGTGCCTAGTTGTTATCCTGTTATCAACTAATGGGTCCAATTGGTCAATCTGTTGCTCAACCGAAGACTCTTCTAAGCATTTATTATACACATGGACATGGGTAGGAATATTGCAAACCAAATACCAATTCAGCACAGACTGGCCACAATAGTCACCATTAAACTATAAATTATTTCCATGAAATTTCTAGAATCATAATAATGAAATGGAAAACTGGCTGGTGGGAGAGGTCAAGTGGTAGCATGGCTTCTTTTCCAATGGGAGGCTCTGAGCTCAAATACACATAATATTCAAGGAAAGATGCAAGAAACTCGATCATCTGATGACTAAGAGCAGTGACTAGGAATAAGAATGTGAAAACTTTTGATTATAATAACTTTAAATATTTTTGAGTGGACGCCAACAAAATGTAGAACAATTAATAAGTATTTGGAACCCATGAGGGTGACAGACTGGCCCTTTTGGCCTTGAGTCTTAGAACTAGGTTGAGGTGCTGGTTATGAGTGAGGGTAGATGAAAATCTATAGTTTTTATCATATATTGAAAGAGCAAGGTTCAGAAATCCAAACAAGGCAAAACAAACCGGGTAACATCTGAGCATATTAGCTTTTTAATTCTAAGTCTTCTTGTCAGAAGACTGAGGAGGAGCTACCTTTTGAAATGGTAAATATATGAAATTTATTCAGGAAATGTAAAGATAGGTCAGGTAAAACAAGTACTAAAGAAAAGTGGGGCTCTGGGTAGGCCTCATCATTTTACATAGGCAAAACTCGTGTCTAGGAATTAGGTCTTATTAG